AGCAAGTTTCTTTTTTCTCCAGTCCACACTGTCATGGGTCAGTGGTTTTCTATGGGCTTTAGGTTTTGTAGTTAGCACCCGGTAGCGGTTGAAACATGTGCATGGTGCGGTGGGTGATCAGAGAGTCTGAAATTGGCCCGGGGAGAGCACTGCTGTCAGAAAAAGACCACAACACTGAAGAAAAGAAATGGAAAATGCCATCCCATGCTGAGTGAATGAATACATGAATTTCTCAGTGAACTTTTGGTCATACTGTTTAGATCACAGCATCAGCAAAAAGCACTCTTAACAGTCTACAGGTTTCTAAAGGGTATAATGAAAAAGGAAAGGTTATTTATTTCAAAACACATAGGTTAGGGTTTCACTCTTCTCATTGTTAAATTTGTCCACAGAGGGATATTTCTGTCACCCCTTCTATGAAAGGATTTGAAAGGATATTGTAAGTGTCTCCCTCCATGTCTTTAATCAACACACAATGTTATCTTCCACCAGCCCTAGACCTGCATTTGTTTCCATGACTGTTTCACAACTGTGCCTCGGCAGCATTTAAGAGATGAAAGAGCAGCGGTGCAAATGTCGTAAAAACTGCAGAAAAGACTAGACACAAAGACAGAATGAAACAGAGGAGACAAAAGCGACAAAGAAAAGTCAGGATCTGAAAATACATTAGTATGTGTGGGCAGTGTTAAATAATTTACTCCTTCCTGATCAAACCCTATTTAATTAGCCCTTGTTCCTCAAATTTAATCAAGCTGTTGGGCTATGAACTGTGAGGAGGAAAGAAGCTTCATGTGCTCACCTGCTGTGTGATCACAGCAGGGCCTCAGGTAGAGGACACAGGGACATGTCCTGCCAGCTGACTGTAGTTAATGCTAACAACACTAACAGGACACAGCAGCAGACCCCAGTGACTCCTATAGGCCTCCTAACAGGCTGCCGTCTAATGCTTTCATTGCGTCACCTACCCAGAGTTAGCCTTATGAATATGCTCCTCTAAGCATGTTAAACTATTATCTTTATATTTGACTGTGCAGATCTGTGTTGGTGAGGATGTGCCTGGGAATCAGACCCAGAGCCATGCCTCCACCTGCTTTCTTGGTAGCATCTTTAGAACTTGGATCTTTCCGGAAATGATAGCAAATGATAGGATTAGGGGTGCATCTAAGTATTGTGTTGCCCAAGGCTAGTTTAGAGAAACTTCAAGCTCCTAGAGTATCCAATTTCAGTCCATTTTCCTTCCTAAAAAAGTTGTCTGAACTGGAAAATCGCACCCGATGGCCCACAAGCATGGCTTTCAAGCCACTAGATGGTAGTACAGAAGTCTTTGTACAAATCTATTTTCTGAAAAAAAAAAGGTTATGATTAAAAAAAATGGTTGAAAATTCCTGATGACCATCTGTGTCCTTTGGTAAAAGACTGTTCTCTCTTTTTCCCCTCATTGTGAAGTAATGGACTAGTGGAGCAGTTTTTTTTTACACTGTACGATAGACATGAATCTGCCAGTGGAGGACATTGAATTTGTTTTAAGCTGCACTCCCGCGACGTGCAGCCAGTCCTGCAGTACACACTTTGATTTGTGACATGCAGAGAAGGGGGAAAAGAGAAGATGGTGAAAAAAGCAAAAAGAAGCAAGGGGAACAGAAGTGTAGTGTCCCGCTGAGGTAATTTGCCTTGGGTCTTATAGAGCTTACTCACACTGCTGGCAGAGTCATATGCAGGCTGATATGGGAAAAGGAGAAGATGTGGGAACAGCATGAGAAGCCAGCAGAATCACAAGTGTTGTGGCTTTACCTTGTAGCTTCAGAGGAAATAAGAGAGTGAGACCGAGGGAAGGCTGGGAGTGGAGTAGGGTTTTACTAATACTTAAACAAAGGTAACTGAGCATGTGTGCGCAGGCACATGCACACACATAGTCATCATCCAATGCATGTAGGAAAGCTAAGGCCAATTTTCATGGGAGTGTTAACGGTTTTGAGCACACATAAGCGCCTGTGACACTTCTGGCAGTGCCAAGAGCCCACACATCAGCCAGTGTTGACAGCATTGGCTGGCACATGCCTGAGGGGATGGGAAACTTCCCCCTATAATTGCATCCCATGTCAACCTGTGACAAGTCAAGCTTAACCAGCACGGGAGCTCGCTAATCACCGGCCGACCTCCTCCACCTCTTTACCCTCTCATTTCCTACACCTACCTCCGCTTTCACCGTGCTCAACTCACTCCCGCTCTAGCTATCTGCCTCCCATCTTTGTTTTTGGATCTGTTGCGGTAGCACCCCTGAGCGAGCTATTACATCTTTATCTCAGCACCTGATGCCATCATGACTCAACAGTCAAAGCAGCTCTTGTCTCTTTTAAAAGTATCTGTTAATGTCACTATTTCCCATTTATTCCATCTGTTATTCTCACCGGTGCTCTGTAGCTGACACGCTTTTCTTGTTTTATGTTAATTATTAAAATTTGTTCAAATGAGTGCTGGAATGAAAATGATAATAGTCTGTCTACTCTTACAGGGCTGCCGGCTGGGGATTCATGAGCTTCTTTACACCTCCCATAAAAAGCCTGAGTGTGACTACAAAACTAGCAGTGTACCTTTGTGATTTAAGATGAGGAGGCAATTCGTAACAAATTTGTTAGTATGTACAACAGAAAGCCCTTGTAATCTTCGATACGAGATATCAGTATATTTGTGTGTGTGTGTGTGTGTGTGCGAGTGTGTGCGAGACCACATTTTTGATCTTTGGTGAGTGATGTGTGTGAGTGAGAAAGCTAGCAACATGGTGCTAGTTCCTCCTGCTGTCTACAGATTGAGGTGAGAATAGCCAGGTGGGGCCCGGTCATGTCTGTGTGCCACAGTAACTGGATGTGATGGGTGGCCTCTGGGGATCTATGCCTTAGAAGTGCTAAATGAGCGAAGCAGAGCAATCACACTGTCCCTCTGTGCGTGTGTGTGTGTGTGTTGCATGCCCACACACACCTTTATGATAGTCAGTTTGTTTTCACAATGCCACTGGCTCTGCATCTGTGTAGGTGTGTGTCTGCTGTAAAGGACACTGCATTTATCCCCGTACCGTAATATAAGCACCATGAGATGGATGATAAGATCAAAATCCTTTAATGTATTAAATGTTGCCTTTTAAATAAATACGCAAGCAGGGCTGCTGCTTCAGGGCAGTGATGTTAAACGTTGCAGAAAGCTCACATACGGTGGGCCTGTAGCTCTGCTCCAGTAGCATTAGTCCAGTCGAAAAGGTGGTGACAGGACACTGGTTCCAGTCTAGAGACTGTGACCCCACCCTTCTCTAATTACCTCCACCTCCACCATGTCTCAGTGTGATTGTTAGCCTGAAGCCCCTGAAAGGGCAAACTGGCGCCCACCCCACACCCCCCTTTAACCAAATGGAATTAACTTAATTCAGTTAAGGAGCAAAAATGTTCCTCCCATGAGAGGAGCCAGTGTTTGTGTACATTTCTGCTTTTTGCAAATCAGCTGTTAGTCTGTGTGTGTCCATGCAGTACATATACAAAACAAGCTCACATGAATATGAAAACAAAACAAACGACTGTGTCACAGGTTGTGTTCTTGCCGCGGGCCAACCGAGTGCGCCAGAGGTGACGCCATAGCGGCTTCCGGTAGCATCGGGATCCCACGGGTCCACCAGTGCCCTTGTGCAGCGCCTGAGCCGAGGTGAATGCCAAGGAGTCTCGGAGCCACTCCATCAAGCAGCTCCCACTCCCACCCCAGGGGAACACCAGCCAATGAATTACAGATTAGATCATTGTTACAGGATCATAACAGTGATCTAATTGCCAATTTCTCTTTTTAATTGAATTTGGTGGAGTGAAGAGGACGGAGATAGGATTCACAGGACTTTGTGTGGAGCCAATTGGAGTCAGTTTGCTGTTGACCGGGCACAACGGTTAATGAGGGAAGAAATACCAGAGCTTGACATTCGGCTGCAAGCTGGGTGTCGACTGTAGAAACGTCAGGCCTAATATCCTTGACGGCATTTCTTGATCGTGCTGAATATCATTTTTGGAACGTTTAGGGGTGTTGGCTCACTGAAGTCAAATTGTATTGACAACAGCATGAATCACAGTTAAATGAATATAACTGGGTTGTACCAAGTTTCTGGTTTCTTGTCCATTCTCTTTTTTAAATGTACTTTAGTTTTCTTCAGTTGAATTTTTTTACAGGAGTTTAATAATGTTTGTTTTCCTGGTATGATCTAGTACAGATGGCTGTCTATTTCTGTCTCCCTCTCAGCATCACCTCCCAGCCCTAACCTCCAAAGGCTTCCATCCAGTCTGACCTTAAAGGAACTCCCCATTGTTGTTTGGTTATGGTTTGGTTAAGTTAGATGGTATATGTTAACCCACATCTCTGCCACAGCCTTACTTCAGAGGTGACAATTCCAATACATCTGCTGCAGCTGAGGTAGTTGAGGTGGTGGTGGGGCGTTGCTGGATGTAGAGGAGTGATTTGTGTGTGTAGCAGTGTGTGAATGGGAGGGGGAACCTCCCTCTATCTCTTGTTCCTCGGTACCTGTCATTGATGAGCCAAGGCAAAGCTTCAGCCTGAAGCTGTCATCGACCCTCTGAATCTTGTCACCTCCCCCTTCTCAGTCTCTCTCTCCCTGTGCGATATGGATGCAAAGTGTGTGAGTCGTCAGCCAGTCAGCCCGCGCGTGTGTTGTGTGCAGTAGGAATCCGGGCGACTGACTCTTGAGGCATTTAAATCGGAGACGCTGGCAGACCGACTGGGGTGCAGGCAGCACGCCGCCGCGACACGGCCGAGACCAACGCTCCCTCTCCCGGACTGACAGGCCAATCGCAGGCCACCACTCACCCTCCCTCCATCCACTGAGCGCGCTCTCTCTCACTAACACCCCCTCCTCTTTCTTTTTTCTCTCTCTCTATCTCTCTCACTCTGGTTTTCATTCCGTGTATCCACTCCTCCTCCTCCTCCTCCTCCTCCTCCTCCTCACACCTTCTGGTCAGAAGAGGAAGAGGAAGCCCAGCCCAGGGAGAAACGCTGAGAGGATGAAACTCTGACACACCGACAGACCACAGGGAAACAAGAGCACAACTGTGAGTACAGCAGTCCTTTCACCTCTCACTCAGGCTTAACGCTGTTACACACACCTCATCTCTGATACACACAAACACAGACACACGTGTCTGGTACATTTACTTCAGACACACAGTAACTTGACTCTGCACACAGCTGCAAAACTGTACTCACAATCCATCTGCTGCTCAAGTGTCTATTTCAGGCAAAAAGACTTGAACAGACAAAGAAGTGTAGGGTCTCATTTTCTTTGGCATGTGCAGTGTGTTTCTTTATGTCTGCTGTTTGGGCTGAGCTTTAACCGGGATTTATTGCAGTGCACAGATTGCAAACAAAACATTTCAACAAAAGTGTGTTTTCTACTTAGCAAACGTTTGTGACATTTTCCCCACTTTAATGGATTTACTTTTATGCTTTTTGCCAAAAGTCGACAGCACATTTATTTGTTTCTTTGTTTGGCTTAGATGAAAAATCACCCAAGCAATATGCAAGGTCAACTGTTTCATACACTCCGCCTCGTGTTGTCTTTTGTCTATGCAGATCTGCTGTTTTTATTGGCTATGTAGATGTGCTGGATCATTATGTGAGGGAAGCATCCCTGCTCTTATCACCCATCTTAAACATATAAGCTGCTATAAGCCAATAGATGCGCTTATTGTTTAGTGTTCAGCCAGGGGAGGTCTGCATGCTGGGCTGATCTGCGCCGTTTGCACCACACAATTTTTTGATTATATTCTTGGTTCATCTCTGGCTGAGGCGATTTCCTATCTCCTTTACCATTTTGAGTGCAGGGAGTATAATATGATAGCGGCTCACATGCGGGGAAGTGCAGACGGCGGGTCTGTACAGAGGACACAGATTGCATTTCCCCTGGAGAACGCTCCCGCTGTATTAAAGGCACTAGAGGGCTGCTCGGCACTTGTCATCAGCTCTGCTAGTAATGTCGACAAGGGGAGAAAGTAGACGCGGTGTTTACGGCCACTCTCTCATTTAAAGAGCTCCCATTGGCCCTGATGCCACAGCTGCATCGCACTGGCCCACTGCAATCTAGGTTATGCTATATTACATCTGTGAGGCCCGGGGTATGGAGTGGTGCTTCTCTTTGCTGGGATAATCTGATGAATAAATGTAGAATGTTTGTTGTTGGACTATAAGCTCCTGGAGTGAGAACTACAGTTTCTGCTGTTTTTATATGAGATGATTTAATACGGCTCACATGCACCATAGCTCCTGGTAACAGTTCACTAAAAACTGATTTCATATTACTGTTCATTTTGTTCTAGTAATATTTGTTGTTTTTTGTTGCAATCGTTATTTTATTGGTGGTAATTCATAATTTTAATGATTGTCTGGCCATGTTTAGCTACAATTGGTGATTTTTTTAAAATGTTTTCCCTGTTGCTGAATCTAAATGAGGTATTGATTTTGACTTCTAGAAATGTGAAGTGACACACCAGTGGCTCTCCAGGCCCAACGGGTCTCCGGTTACCTGTGTGTCAGCAAAAGTGAATGAAGAGCTTGAGACTCTCCTCTGTCTGGCCCTGGCAAATTTACTGAACCCTTGTGGTTTAACACACACACACACAGGCATGCAATATTAAATCAAGGTAAACAAAACAATTATCTATCCTTTCCTCCTCGGTAGTTGCACCCTTTTTCCCAGGTATTTTTGGAAAGGGCTGATTAGTTGAGATTTAAAAGGCAAACTGATTTAATGTCCTACATAAGAAACTAGCTCCACTGATCGTGCTGCATCGCCTATTGTGTAAGCACCATCAAAGCTATGATATTCGTAGCACAGGAAGATGACAAAAGCTACATTGCAAAAAGTAATTTCAGCTCTCTCAATTAATGCAGCTTTCATTTTGGATTCGCCCGTGGCTTTCATAGAAAATTCATGTAATTTAAATGCAGAAAACCTGCCTGCTTCTGATGTGGTTACTGACCGGTGATTTAAATTTATCTTCTCCATGTTGTATACTTCATTGTTGAGAGATATATTTGAGCAGGGTTAATAGCCTTTTATGCTAGGAAACATATTTAATTGCATATATCTTTTACTCCAGAACATTTTACCCCAGAGATGCAGTTAATGTAAAGTCAGTGATTTTTATTCAACTGCTTGTGAAGGCGAGAGAAGTTACAGCATTTCATATTTATTACTATCTCTTTGTGTATCTGCACTTATTGATTAGATGGTTGGTAACCAGTCCTGATCATCAATACAGATCCTTACAAGGCGAGGCCAAATAGTCTTTCCACTCTCCCTGAAGGCTCAATTACACAGCGTGCTCAAGGAAATATGGCGGGGAAGAAGATCAACTTCTGACAAGGTCAAATTATGTCAGTTTTAAATCATTTTGTTGAGGAATTCAGCCGCATCTGAACGTATAAAGAGAGACATATTCAGAGAGTCAATAAATGTTGTATGCTAGACCTCTTTAAATATTCAGATACTTTGCTGATTAAATTAAGTCTACTGGAAGAGATGGCAAGACCTCCTCCTGGGTGTTTTCATTTATTTTCATAAAAATCTCCACCTGACTTTAGGGTATTGGATGCCAGTAATTGCACATCTTGAATAAATGAGTGACGGAATTTACTAATTTGCGAACTTGTTACCATCTAAATGATGCTGATTACAATTGCAAAGCCATCATATGTTTTCCAGCCTTAACACAAACACGGTGTTACTTGTGTGGCAAAGCAGGAAAGTTGATGCTGTAATTGGTGCTTTGTGGAGCTGTTTGCTTTTGACGACATTCGTAGACAATGGAACACAGTCTATTCAAAACCTCATGAATACCACAATTCACTGATGAAGGACGTGTAGCAAATATTGAAGATCCTTTTTTTTCTGTCGGTGTAAAGCCAAAAAGCAGAATTGATTTGTTGAGTGAGCCTTGGAAGGATAGCCTCTCTTCAGAAACCTTTGTGAGAAAGATGGTAATTGCAGGGCAAAGTGCTACAGTCAAAATACAGGAGGCTTACCATACACATACCAACCAAAGCATTAGTTTTATCTCACAAAATAACATCTACACTGACAATTTGCAACACATTTTCTGATTTAGCTGGCCAGCCATTTACAGTGAGGAACAGAAGTATTTGAACACCCTGCGATTTTGCAAGTTCTCCGACTTAGAAATCATGGAGGGGTCTGAAATTCACATTGTAGGTGCATTCTCACTCTGAGAGACAGAATTAAAAAAAAATTCAGGAAATCACATTGTATGATTTTTAAAGAATTTATTTGTCTTGCACTGCTGAACATAAGTATTTGAACACCTGAGAAACAGCAAGAATTCTGGCTCTCAAAGACCTGTTACTGTGCCTTGAAAAAGTCCACCTCTACTCCACTCATTAATCTAAATTAGTAGCACCTGTCTGAGCTCTTTAAAGACACATGTCCACCCCACAGTCAGTCAGACGCCAACTACTACCATGGGCAAGACCAAAGAGCTGTCAAAAGACACCAGAGACAAAATTGTGGACCTCCACAAGGCTGGAAAGGGCTACAGGGCAATTGCCAAGCAGCTTGGTGAAAACAGATCAACTGTTGGATAGTGGTGGGCAAGTGAAGCCTCATGAAGCACTGAGGCTTTCCTAACAATTGTGCCGAAAATGATTCAAAGCTTCAAGACTTCAGTCACAGTGACATCTGGTGGACAACTGAAGCCATAGCAGCCTCTAAAGAGCACGACTGAAGCACTGGCACTGTTTCAATCCCATGACAGCAATAAAAGTTCAGAAAAGTCTGTGTGGTCATTCAAGTGTTTTGTTCATTCATACCAAATAATGATTATATCGTTATTACAATAAAATATGCAGATGCTCTCCCCCATACTGTAAAACACATTCCAGATTAACCCAAACAATCAATGCAAATTATATTAAGGGTTAAATGTTGGTTAAGGGTTAATTTCAAGCTTTGAGCTTTATTTAAATACTGTACTAAAAGCCCCTAACAGGATTAGAGATCCTTCCTACTTTGCAAATGATC